AACCCCATACCTCTGAACCATACAATAGAATAGGAAGGATTTTTGTATCAAATATTTTGAAAAAAGAATGATAATCAATATCTACGAGTTTGTGAATACTTTTGAGAACCCCAATAAGTACCTTTTTGGCTAGTGTGGAACAATATTTAGCATGTGCTGAAAAGCCAAGACGATTTGTGAAGTAGACTCCAAGGTATTTATATGATTGAGTGACTTGGAGCGGCTCTCCTTTATAATTCCAATTTTTCCGTTTTAGATAGTTTGCCCCCGTTTTTGAAAACGACTATTCTAGTTTTCTCAAAATTAGCAGTTAATCCTGCCTCATTGCAATAATGTTTCAACTCATGTATATGCCTTTGTAATCCAACAACAGTAGTCGCAAACAGAATCATATCATCGGCAAACAACAATAAAAACAATTGTGTCAAATAGGGATGTAACTGGATACCATGAGTACCATTTTGTTGTATTATCGAAGCAAATTCATTAATGAACATTGAGAACAGAAATGGACTCAGAATACAGCCTTGTCTAAGCCCAACATTGCACTTGAAGGTATCTGATATTTCATGATTATTTCTGATGCAAACTTTCACATTATCATATATCTTCTGTAGCAATCTATTCATCTTAGGGCTAATACCATGTTTTTGCATTACCCCCCAAAGTTTTTCTCTCTGTATTGAATCAAACGCTTTCTTAAAATCGACAAACAAAGCATACATTTTCTTTCCCTTTGTATTTAGACACTTCTGAACAATTGAATTAAGTATAAAGATATTATCTACAGTACAGTATCCTGCCCTAAAGCCGGCTTAGGATTCATCTATTTTATCAAAAGTATTTGCCAAAAAAGTCAATCTCTTGTTGATGATATAGACAAAAACCTTTCCCAATATACTTACAGATTTATACCTCTATAATTATCTACATTATTAAGGTTCCCGCTCTTATGAATTGGGATAATAATTCCAATAGTCCAAGTCGATGGAAAATTACCGCTCTCTAAAATAACATTAAAAATCAACTCCAAGTAAGGTAATAAGATATCTTCAGAATATTTAATAAATTCAGGTAATATATCATCAACACCCGCTGCTTTGTTTACCTTTAAGTGTCTTATACTATCTATAATTTCTTGTCTGGTAATAGGTGGATCTAGAATATCGTTAGTCAATAGGTCAAAGTCAGTTGGTGTGCATGTACGTACATTAGTATTCTCGTTGCCAGCACTTACATCCTCTGTTACATCATTGCAAGTTGATGTAAACAATTGTTTAAAATGTTCAAACCACTCACGGGTACTGATAACATGTTTAGTAGACTGTTTACCATTCAAGCCCTTAAGGATTGACCAAGCATTTACAAATGAATTTTAATTGTAAACTTTAATAACATCGTATTTGTATATTCTATGGCGAGGTGTAGGGTGCATGACTTTAACTAAGACGTCACAGACTGACCCAGTTTGATGAGGTCGTAAAATGATTCACAATGCATCTGTGTTACTGGTTACACCTGTTATGTTATGCGCTTATTCAGTATAATATTGTAACGCACAATGCGATTGATATGATATCAAGTGCGTACCAGACCGCCAAACTTTTCTAGCGGCAGAGCCTCGTTTTGAGATGTCCACGATTTCCAGGTTTCTGTTTGTCAGAGCTCGCTGTACGACAGAGCACGCTGCACGACGTGTTTGCAAGGATTAGATGGAGAGTAGTGTTGCAATATACAAGTGCTTAGATGTATCAAATAATACTGATATGTATCCAGTTAAATGAATTAGTCTCAAAATTCTGTACTGGTTATTGTACTAAGTTGCGCAATAGGACGGAACCCAGTCAACAGGCAACGAAACTGTTTATGTAATCAATGTTTTGACTTGTACATTATGTTACCGGAGGTCATACATCACAGCCAAACTTTCCTTTGGAAATTGCGTACATTCGGTTGAAAATGGAGAAACTAATCACATACAAAATCGCTTCGGGTATATAAGAAAACCTGCATTACATTATGTTTGTGGCTTCATATAATCAAACGAAAGACCAAAAACAAATCAAAACCATAAAAAAGAAATACAACCACACACATATATTTTTCTTCATTCCCATCCAATGTGTGAAGTCTATTTCTGTTGTCGTCGATGACATTGCTGGAATATTGGCAAAAGCGACGTAAAACTCACTCACTCACTCAAAACAGTAATCTGAGTTGAAATTTCAAAAGGAATATCTGAATAATTCCCCATCTAAGAAGTTAATGGCCAGACAGGATGATTTAACAACAGCATCTAGAACATCTGTACAAACAAGCACAGGGATTAGTCAGGGATCCATATGGCGGAGAAAAATAAATTCATTTGTCTGACAATGTCACATGTGGTGTAAGTATTAATGCTCCTGAAAATTATATAAAATAAATTATAATTTTCTCTGAAAAGAAATAACCCAGAATATATACTGCATGGGATTTAATTTGTAGTACTACCGCGCTGCAGGATGTATATTTCCATGACGACTGGAAGGTTCACCTCTGTAATGCCCCTGACTGAGTATACATGTGTAGTTGTATGGTGTACATTCGTTCAGGCCTTCATATTGGATTAAGGGTCAGCTAAAGTCGGCCTCACAGTCCCTGAACTTTCCCTTCCGCCCAGGGTTCTTCAGGCTCTGAATCTCCCATCTCACTGCATCCTCCATAATCTCCGACCGCCTCCGTGGTGTAGTGGTTAGAGCGTCCGCCCGGAGAGCGGAAGGTCGATCGCGGGTTCGATCCCCGACCGCGTCATACCAAAAGACGTTAAAATATGGTACTTGTTGGTCCCTGCCTGGCGCTCGGCATTAATGGGTACAACAAGGACTAGTCGGCTCGGAGTCGGTATAATATGTCTGAGTGGGGTATTCCTGCTTCACTGCGGCATGGTATCTCAGTGGGCTAGCACTATAAAACCAGCTTCAGTCTGGGCTAGTACAAGCAGCCGCACATACACATACACACGCATGCACGTCGTCATATGAGCGAAATATTCTCAAGCACGACGTAAAACCCAATTTCACCTCGCCTCACTTCCATAATCTCCAGGTTTTACGTTCCGATAAATCTCCACGCTGTCAGAGCCCGTGCCTGTACCGGGTTGCTCTGTCTGCACGTTGGTGATTATGCAATCGTCTCAAAACAATAAGTGAGTGAGTATTGCTTTACGCCGCATTTAGCAATATTCCAGCAATATCACGGCGGGGGACACCAGAAATGGGCTTCACACATTGTGCCCATGTGGGGAATCGAATTTTCCTGCCAGAAATTTCCATTGTTTGTCGTCAATTCGTATTCGGAAATGCCCCATATTCGACACCACACGTAGCCTTCTTGAATCACCTTCCTCCATTCCGATATTACGTTATGTTACCGGAGGTCATACGTCACAGCCAAACTTTCCTTTGGAAAGTCTTACCCGTGAAGGTCCGGGTTAGAATGAGCCTTCAGTAACCCATGCTTGTACGTAAGAGGCGACTAACGGGATCGGGTGGTCAGGCTTGCTGACTTGGTTGACACATGTTGGAGAAAAATATTCATTTGTCTGACAATGTGACATGTCGTGTTAGTGGTAATGCTCCTGAAAATTGTACAAAATAAATTATAATTCTCTCTCAAAAGAAATAACCTAGAATATATACTGAATGGGATATATGTAGTACTACCGCGCTGAAGGATGTATATTCCCAATGTCGACTGAAAGGACACTCGTGACGTTATTAACTGACCCACCCACACAAGTGAAAGTAGGTTATCAGATTCCTCTGAACCGCCGTCAAGTGAGATATCTGTGTGTAGGATATGGCTCCCGATACCATCACACTTCTGGATCTGTCGACCTCTACAGCAGTTGGGAATAAAACGATCATTTTGACGTCTTAGACACGCTGTCTTCCATCTCTTTGTTGGGGAAGACATCATCGTCCAGCGTAGAATCAGACTACGTTGCCAGAGCCTGTGCCTGTACGGTGTTGCTCAACGTTGTTGATTATGCATTCGTCTCAAAACAAGTGAGTGAGTGGGTGTTGCTTTAGGCCGCTTTAGCAATATTCCAGCCACATCACGGCGGTGGACACCAGAAATGGGCTTTAGACATTGTACTCATGTGTGGAATCGAACCCGGGTCATCGACGTGACGAGCGAACGCTTTCACCACTAGGCTACTGTCCTTCTCAAATCAATGTCAGATGTCGATCCTCAGGGTCTAAATACACTCTTCACACCTGCCACATGTCCTGCAGTCTTGGTGGTAGTAGACCCGTGAAGATCCGGGTTAGAATATTGGCCTTCAGTAACCCATGCCTGTCGTAAGAGGCGACTAACGGGATCGGGTGGCCAGGCTCGCTGACTTGGTTGACACATGTCATCGGTTCTCAACTGCGCAGATCGATGCTCATGCTGTTGATCACTGGATTGTCTGGTCCAGACTCGATTATTTACAGACCGCCGAAATATAGCTGGAATATTACTGAGTGCGGCGTAAAACTAAACTCATTCACTCACTCACTCATGCCATTATCATGCAATCTAAAATAGAAATGTTTCATGAAGCAAGTTTTGCTTCAGAGCTCTACTCCAGTTAACGGACATGTGATCTAACATCGTCCATTTGTATTGACTATGTCATGACCATGAATACACAACATTCTTATTATCGCCGAGATTCTCTGTTGTGAGTTCGAATCTCAGGTGCCTCAAGAATACGACCCCCGTCTGTGATCCCTCTTAACCCTTCCGGTTATGAGAGAGACCTGGGCCGGTGGGGAGCCTAATGGTTAAAGCGTCAGGTCGTCCCGCCGAAGACCCCGGTTCGATTCCCCACATGGGTGCGTTGTGTGAAGCCATACTCGCTCACTCACTTATATTATAAGAGATCTGAAGTAACCAAAACAGATGCACAATTACATTCAATATGCATCTATAGGTCGGCGATACTACGGTCATTCGATTATTCACGCACGCACGTACGCACACACACACACATCCACACACACGTACATGCTAGACCTCAGCTCTTCACGCACAGAGATATCTAGTCTGTCTCACAGTCCCTGAACAACATTATTGTCCCTAGTGCCTTGCCCTTCCTGTCACGTTAAAGCCCTAAATGAAGCAAGTCTAGATTTCCCTGAATCTCCCAACTCACTGGGGCTCCTTTTGAGTTAAAATGGGTTTATTTGTTACTATCAAAATTATATATATTCAGGGAAGGACTAAGATATATCCTATAGATGTGTTTTGTTTCAATTAGTTCACTTCTTAGTCTCTTATAGATATATACAATGTGTGAAGCTCATTTCTTGTGTCCCCCGACGCAATATTGCTGGAATATTGCTAAAATCGGCGTAAAACTAAACTCACTCACTCTTTTAGATATAACACTGGCAGAACCAGCCAACACCATTTAGATTGAAAATAAGCCTCTGTGTTCTGATATATTCAAACCCTGGGGAAAACCCAGCCTAGCTTCCTTGATATTGCAGAAAGGACTGGGCGGAAAGGAAAACAATGTTGTTGGACTGCGAGACAAACTACAATTGAAAACACTGTAAGGAAGTGACACGCTCTAAACCCTCGCTTTTGAGGCTTTACCGCGGAAACAAGGAAGTGAACTGGCCATCAAGCTGACCTGGTTTCTGTTCCAAACATTCTGGGGGTAATTCAAATGCCGTGAAATTATCTTGGGAAATATATCTCAACAAGTTAAAATGTCCTGTGTTTGATGTGACGGTATTAGAAAACACGCATGGGCTTTTTATCACTCGTGGATAAAAGTGTATATTTTGTAGCCTTAGGGAATCCCCACATCTTATGAAAACACAAGGCCCGTGACGTGTGCAACATTGCGTGGGGAACCCGGTCAGAATAGATTTTGGATCTTGGACCCTTTTCTCAAAGCAATCGTAGCGCTAAAATGATCGTAACTCCCATACTCTAACATAGACTTACGACTGTCGTAGCGCTAAGATGATCGTAACTCCCATACTTTAACATAGACCTACGACTGTCGTAGCGCTAAAATGATCGTAACTCCCATACTCTAACATAGACTTACGGCTGTCGTAGCGCTAAGATGATCGTAACTCCCATACTTTAACATAGACTTACGACTGTCGTCACGCTAAGATGATCGTAACTCCCATGCTTTAACATAGACTTACGACTGTGGTCACGCTATGATGATCGTAACTCCCATACTTTAACATAGACTTACGACTGTCGTAACGCTAAGATGATCGTAACTCCCATACTCTAACATTGACTTACGACTGTCGTAACGCTAAGATGATCGTAACTCCCATACTCTAACATAGACTTACGACTGTCGTAACGCTAAGATGATCGTAACTCCCTACTCTAACATAGACTTACGACTGTCGTAACGCTAAGATGATTGTAACTCCCATGCTTTAATATAGACTTACGACTGTCGTAACGCTAAGATGATCGTAACTCCCATGCTCCCAGTCGGAAAACTGTGTGTTTAACATTACTGCAGTTTTAAAAAAAAACCAATCAATGTATACACAATCCAAACCCGTGGAGTGAGTGAGGTCTGTGTTGTGGGATTAACCATCATGGCTTAGATACGGGATGGTGGGTATAATGGTAGTCGAGTAACCATGGAAACAATGATTGAACATCCCTAGAATCTTCTTACTCGTGATCTGGATTATTGCTAAAAACGGCGTAAAACACAACTCATCCACTATAATAATATAAAACATGAAACTGTGACCTGTTTAAGTGAAATAATAATTTGACAGAAATAAGAACATTTATGGCAACACATATATAATTTATGGTACTAAGTCCGATGCATTGGTTTAAGACAAGGGATAATTCTGCTTAATATCTTACTTGACCGATATTGGGTTTGTCCAACTGGATATATCTCAATGTCATAGTTATTGGGAAGGTTCACGGGTTCGGACGGTTTCCTTGCTACAATTTCTTGTGTGTTTTCAAAACTCAGGTAGTAACCCTGATAGGCTAGAGATTCGAACACACAACTGGACCGACATATTTCACTGAAGAAAAATTCCTGCCCACTTTCCGGAATTCCATCTGGCGTAATGATCTGGTCACGTGACACGTGCGCGAGTCGTAGCTGGAGCGTTTCCGCATCACAATGATCGCTCGAGTAGATGGGATGCAGATAGTAGGTTTCGTCTTTCAGTGTCATTGAGAACAGATACAAAGTAAATTGTTTGGTCATTGTTTCTTTATCAATGGCTTTTATCACCTGTGATGTAAAATGGAAGGATGAAGAGTCCTTTTTCTTAAATGACGCGGCTTTGACACAGAAGGAATCTTGTCTTTTTATCATTTTCATGCAAATTGCGCTGGAAACTTCATGCTTTATCTTGACTTGTGTTTCGTCACCCCTGTCCACAATAAACAGGTCAGGGGGAGGAAACCCTGGTCTGCATCTAGTCAATTCAACAAATTCCTCCGAGGTATTTGAACACCTTCCAGATAAGGTAGTATCCGAATTGTGTCTTGTTGGACGGTCTTTGGACGAACAGGTACTTGGAACAGGACCTTGAAACGGAGAACGTGCTTGTTGTTTCCTGACTGGGTCTGTTGTTGGCGGGATTCCGGGGAGTGAACTTTGGCGTTTGAGATTCACAGATCTTGATCTTTGTTTGTGTGAACGCTCGGACGATGACCGCTTCACCCTGGGAGTGTCCATGGCGTTAGTGTAGTACGATCACCAGGCTGTGTCTGATTAATACAATTCAAAGGGGTCTGGTATGGCGTGAGTCCGGCCCTCAATCTGAGCAGTGGCTGTGCACTCTTGCTCAGAGCAGATTGTCTGTTGCTCTCGGCTTGAATGGGTATGTTGTCATATGCCATGTGTTTATATCAGAGCTGCGTGGATTTTCCATTAACTGACGAGGAAAACATTAGTGGGCGGACGTTGTTGGCCACTGAGAGCAGGGTATTCCCCTTTCATTGACAACTCAGAGCGCGATGCGTTCAGCGTGACTCGTGTTCGGTATCAGCTCACCCGTTGTTGACAGCATTACAGCTATAAAAGTACAGACATCGACATTCAATGTGTTGTTCAGGGCAGGAGGAGGAAGACGTTGGATAGGGTGCGGTGGGTTGGAGGGGTGGGTGGGTGTTGGATGGGTGTTATAGTGTGTGTGGCGAGTGAAAGAGGAGAAGGGGGAAGAGTTATGCTTCCCAGCACAGTATTTGCATTCGCCTCTGATAATTCACTCCCCCCCCCCTTCTCTCTCTCTCTCTCGCAATTGGTGGGGTACGGTGACATGTGTCAACCAAGTCAGCAAGCATGACCACCCCCGTTAGTCCCCTTTTACGACAAGCATGGGTTGCTGAAAACCAGTTCTAACCCGGATCTTCACGGGTAGTGACCTTTGGCAAAAGCGATCATTTTCAAAAGTTTGGCATAAAGTCCTCAAACATTCACATAAGTTTCAATCATAGAGCAGGACCTGCTCTAACACCTTTCCAAAAGGAAAGTTTGGCTGTGACGTATGACCTCAGGTGACATAACGTTATATCGGAATGGAGGAAGATTATTCAAGAAGGCTACGTGTGGTGTCGAATATGGGTCATTTCCAAATACGATTGGCGACAAACAATGGAAATTTCTGGCAGGATGTTGAATCACCGCTAATGTCGTTTTGCTCATACATGTAGTACACTTCCATCTATAGAATAAAGAGTTTTTGCACACTTCATTTTCACAGTTTGAATGGTCATTGCTCTCTCTCTCTCTCTCTCTCTCTCTCTCTCTTTCTCTCTCTCTCTCTCCCTCTCACTCTTACTGTGATGAATGGATATTTGAAATATGACAATTACATTCATGTGAGCGAGAGTGAGTATACGTACACACACATACCTGAGATTAGTATTTCCATGATTGAACTAGCAACATATAATGCATAATGGTGAACACGTTTTGGCAAGTTTTAAACATTAAACTTCTAATAACTTAACATAATTGTGACAATGATATCGTATATAGCGCTGAACTCCACACCGCAGGGACATGCTCTAAGCGCATACGATATGATAGACATTATTACCCCGGATAGCCCAAGCTGCCTGTGAGGTGCTAGAAGGTTAGTAATCGTTTTGCTTATCCCACCGGGTACCCATTAACTGCTTGATGAACATGGGCAATTTTGAATAAACTCATTTGCCTAAGGTGAGACCACGTGGGTGCTTTGTTGTGGGGCAGGACTGAAGTCCTAAAAACTCTCAGGAGTCAGGTTGCCAAACACGGTCACCCATTCAAGTACTCTCCGCGACCAGCGGGGCTTAACCTCAACTGCTTTGTGACCTGTGCATTGTGCATGACCGCATAACTTCATTCACCATTTGTAAAGATAGTTTGTATAGATTATTTGAATGGATTAATGTTCTCATTAAAGAAAAAATAATACGCAATCTCATTATTACTGACATATTCAAATATTCCCTTCGTAATTCCAGCAGAGGATCGCCTCTGTTGTTGTTCTGTAAACCCCATTCATGAGTCTATTTGTTTATTCCGGTGGAATCTCTCATCCTTGGCTTTCAAGGCTGGGATATCCCTATCTATTGTCGCTGATTGGCTAGCTATGAGTTGCAATCAACAATAGTCAAGCTATATCACGGCGGGGATTCCCCTCTTCATTGTCATTGATTGCGTCATTCGTAACTTCTCGTGTCATTCCGGCAAGCCGTAAATAACGGAAAGAGGCGATTAGTTATGAATGTGATTTCAGCAATATTCGAGCTATACCACGGGGGGTCAGCTCAATGTTCGAGGCTAAATCGGAGAAGATCGTGGAAGATTTTCATCTCTTTGGGCAACCTGAGAGACATTTTTCTCCGGCATAAACAACCACGTTGGGTAATTTCACCGTCATTGTTTGAGTAGATAGTTGTAGATGCAGCTGTAAAATGAGAGATATAAGTGGGAAATAAAATGGAGGTGTGTGTGTGTGTGTGCGTGTGTGTGTGTGCGTGCGTGTGCGTGTGTGGTCACGTGGGGGTGTCTTTTGAAGCAGTATAGATTTGTGGTGAAACTCCACACACCCTTTTCCGTATAGGCGACGGTCACAATACTGATTTTGTTTGACACTGCATCGAGTAATACCCCTGCTATACGGTGGCGGTGTGTAAATAACCGAATCTGGACCAGACAGACGATGATTAAACTCTGTCATAAGAAAAAAAGAAACGCAACCCTGTCCATCAGATATGAAAAATTCGTTTGAATGAAGTATAAATTGCCCTGTTCAGATAAACTGAAATTCCAAACTAAATTTTATTCGAATGTATTGAAATGATACACGTAATTAATGAAGATTACCATCCAAACAACTGCATTTGTACGCATAAGTGTATTTTATTGCTTATTCCGTCACAACGCATGAAATGACCCTCATGGTGACTTCGCACAAAAACACATGCAAATCATGAAAATGGCAGTTAATGTAGGGGTGTATAAAGCCCATGTGCTTCCGTATTATATTCATTCATTTGTCGCCGAAAAGCTGTGTTAAAAATGCCACGATTGAGTGCTGCCGACCGAAATATCGCCATTGGTCGTGTTCAAGCCGGAGAAAGTTTTGGAACTGTTGCACGGCACCTAAATGTTCACAAAACAACGATATCCCGACTTTGGAGCCGCTACAACAACTTCAATTTGACCAACGATCGCCCGAGAAGTGGAAGGCCAGAATCACGACCCCCTTCAAGATCGGTACATCCGGGTCCATCACCTGCGTAATCGGCATGCCCTACCAACCGTGACTGCCACACAAATACCAGGTTTGAGGAGAGTGTCAGCTCAAACGATTAGGAACCGTCTGAAAGAAGCGGGTTTACGTGCCTGTAGACCAGTTGTTGGACCTGTACTACGCCCCTACATCGACGCCGACGACTCAGGTGGTGCAACAACGTAAGGATACGGACTTTACAAAACTGGAGGCGAATCTGGTTTTCTGATGAATCACGTTTTTCTTTTGCAACGTCACGACGGAAGACAGCGTCTGTATAGGAGACGTCATAAACGTTTTGCGCCCATCTGCGTCCGACAGGTGGACAGATTTGGCGGAGAAAGCGTCATGGTTTGGGAACCATCTCATACAACCAGAAATCAGACTTGGTGATCGTTCCAGGGAACCTGACAGCCCAACGTTACATCAACCACGTGTTAGAGCTTCACCTTCTCCCGATTATTGACCAACAGACACAGATTTTCAACGGGACAACGCCCGGCCTCATACTGCACGTGCAACAATGAACTTTCTGCAGAATTCCAACGTCAATGTCTTGCCATGACCCTCTAAATCACCAGACCTCAACCCTATTGAACACCTGTGGGATACTCTGGATCGACGCGTACGTCAACGTCAGCCGCCGCCACAGACGCTGCAACAGCTCGCCGTTGCACTGCAGGAGAGTGGAGAGCCATTCCCCAGGAAAGAATCCGGCGTCTTATCCGTTCTTGTCCAAGGAGATGCCGTGCAGTGATTGCAGCGCGTGGTGCTCATACGAGATACTGAGAAAGACGCCCCCCTGGTGACAAACTGGTGTCTGTGAGATGACTTTGGAAATGACAATTTTAAACATGCCCATCTGGGTTATTATTCTGCCAAATTTCAGACTTCTGTCTTAAATAATTAAAATGCCGTGTCGTCCTAAAACTTCAGATCAAAATCTCTAAAATACAGGGGTTGCGTTTCTTTTTTGACAGAGTTTATGATAAAACTACTTTGAGTGCTAAAATAAAATGTACATAAAATCACTAAATATACATTCTTAAGATATCAGATAAAACATCAAGTTATAATATCAGTTGGGGCGGTGGGGTAGTCTAGTGGTTAAAGCGTAGGCTCGTCACGCCGAAGACACGGGTTCGAATCCCCACATGGGTACAATGAGTGAAGCCCATTTCTGGTGTCCCCCGCCGTGATATTGCTGGAATATTGCTAAAAGCAGCGTAAAACCAAACTCAGTCAGTCAGTATAATATCAGTTGGGGTGGGAATGATGAACAGTCTACGTTTAAACATAGTTGTAATAAGTGCAGCTACGGAATTCGATAAATCGTCGCACTGCATGATAAATGTAGTTTGATTTGAACTGGATAATTGGCATAAATTTGGGTCTTTAGCAGGGGCGAGATTCAAAAGTGGGGTTCTCAAATCAGAATATAATTTGCAGTCGATAAGAAGATGTGCCTCGTCCTCAACATTAGGACAATTACATAGTTACATATACGGTGATCTAAGAGAGTTTGGGTTTCTTAAACCGACCAAGTTCCATTTCTAAGAGTGAGTGAGAGAGTTTAGTTTTACGCCGCTTTTAGCAATATTCTAGCTATATCACGGCGAGGGACACCAGAAATGGGCTTCACAAACTGTACCAATCGAGCCCGGGTCTTGGACGTGACGAGCGAACGCTTTAACCACTAGGCTACCCCACCGCCCCTGCACTTCTAAGACAACACAACATGCAATAGCTAGGTCATTAAGTCTGACCACCCGATCCCGTTAGTCACCTCACACGAAAGGCGTCGTCACATGGTTTGCAAGTGATAACCGTGTTATATTTAGAAAATAGTCACGTTCAGAACAAAGCAAAGGCGGATGTGATTGGCAATTTATTTGCTATGTCCAAGTCGTCGAAAGTAATAGGAAATTGTCACGAAGGTGGCACAAGTCGCCGTTTGGATTGTCCGAAAATCACGCGAGTGGTCACGACTGTCCGAGTTGAGTCAATGATAGCAATATTCCATTCCTGTGTTTTGCAGTTACGTCTAGACTATCGCTTTGTGTCTGAATACATATAATATTGATCAGTCTAAATAAACTTAGGCTCAGTATTATTCGTTACATTGCTATACTGAGTCTAACAAAACCTAGTAGAAGGTCGCGTCAGCTAACCTTTGAGCGACCTATGACCGTCCAATCAAACGCGAGACAGCCGAACGGATTTTCTAATGACATGGTTACTATTTGCTTATAATTTCGCAAGATGACATCCTTGAATATTGACAAAACGCTATTATCAGCGACTGTTTACTCATTGCATGTATCACTCGGAAGCGATCGTGCGGAAAATAGCATTCGGAATCGAGTTTTTGAGGTAATGGTTCAGGACGGTATGTGCGAATGTTAACGTTCGCGATTTTGGTAAGCTGTGTTGTGATTGGTCAGTCGAAAAGGTTAGTTGACGCGACCTTCTACTAGGTTTTGTTAGACTCAGTATAGCAGTGTAACGAATAATACTGAGCCTAAGTTTACTTTGACTGAATATTGATAGATATAAATGATTCCATTTGGATTGAAAATTAGCCCAAGTGTGAAGGGAGATTCAGATTGCTGAACCGGAGGAAGTTTAGACTGGCTTCATATAGGGATTTAGCATTGCTGAAATGGCGAAGTTAAAACACAAACTACCAAACGCATAGCAACTTTCCAGTTTTTGAAACAGGAACTTAACAAATGTTATCTTCTGGCTAAATCTTGTTGATCTCACACATGTCAGAATGTGCATTTCTAGTAGTGCTGGTATTGGCATACAACCTGCATCACGATACTAACATTGTAGTCAAGATGATATATTGCCAAAGTATTGTGCACTTAAGCTGCGATACGATACGAATCCCGATATAAGGGTGGCGATACGAACAACTGTAAAACACATTAAGATCAAAACAAAAACAATGTTTAAATGAAAGAAAGTTTAATTTGAAAAAAGTCACATTAGGCACTTTTTTAAAAATATAAACAAGTACAAAATAAATAAAACATAATACTATTATAAACAGAAAACATAGATCATAAACATCTTTAATATCAGCTGGATGCTGTCACTGCAGTCACATAATAGAATGAAATTTGTGACGGTTTTGAAAACAGTATTTCTCGACAGATTTCGCGATTCGCCAATATTCAAAGTTAAACATCGATGTATCGTGGCCCATTTGAAGTATCGTATCGGGATACACAACAATGTAAAACTTTGTATCGATTCGCTGTATCGGCGGCCCATGGATCGATGCATCGATGCGTATCAATGAATCGTCACATCACTAAGTTCTAGTTGAACTATGATGAAGCAGAAACGGAAATGAGGATTTGTTTTTCGACGCCCCACGTAATGTCCTTAATGTGTGAACCCGTGAAGATCGTATTAAAATACCTATAAATAGTCGCCCAGCAACCAATATGTCCAACTGATCATGTTAACACACAAAACCATTTAACATCAATCTGAACACACAAGGTATTTATGTAAAAATATCGTCGTTTACGTAGTACGTCAAGGCACGATTCTAATCGACCTGTGAAGATTCGGGTTAGAACTGGTCTACAGCAACCCATGCTTGTCGTAAGAGGCGATTAACTCGATCGGGTGGTCAGGCTCGCTGACTTGGTTGGCACATCTGAACGTATGCCAATTGTGTAGATCGATGCAGTTCATACTATTGATCTCTGGATTGTCTGGTCCACATTCGATTATTTACAGATCGCCGCCATATAGCTGAACTATTGCTGACTGACTGACTGAGTTTGGTTTTACGCCGCTTTTAGCAATATTCCAGCAACATCACGGCGGGGGACACCAGAAATGGGCTTCAACTATTGCTGAGCATAGAGGATATTTTGTTAATGTTGTCAAATAACATGTATGTTTCATCGAGTGGTCTGACAAAGTTGATATGTCCATGAGTGGCACAGCCACGAGACATTCTCTTTAATCAGAAAGTAGTTCCAGGCAAAATTGATATTCTACTCAGTGAAATAACATGTTATTCTACTCAGTGAAAATATAATTTTTATTTTTACCAATATTTACAGTATTTCACCCTAAAGAACATAATAATGATGATTATTCTGCCATTCAGTCAGGGTCGGAGCAGTGGTTTATTTAGACGCGTGAAGATTCGGGTTACACGCCGGCCCATTACACATTTTCACGATAGCTTGTTTCTAGACAAACATTGTTAATGTGTGATAGTACTGACAATCTATTTGTCTTGTGTGTTACGTTTTTTATAACGGGTAATGCATAGGGCTGCGCAACATAACCGGTTTACCGGTATTTACCGGTTCAGACATGAAAACGATACGTATTGCGATACGCTGATCGAAAACCGGTATTTTGACATGCAATCGGAAAACTTCGTAACACTCGGAAATCTTCGGATATTTCCGTTTTTAAATTGTTCCTTTCCTTGTTTCATTTGTGCCAAACATTATTTACATTTTTATTTTGTCATGATTAAAGTTTTTATTAAAGCTTAATCAAGCATTGTGATTTTGTTGTGTTTTTGCTATATAAATCAAGCATTAACTCGACTATAAGTAGTTTTTTGTTAAAAAAACCTTCTTGCAATATATGCTTTCGTATCGCAATATATCGCAATATGAAAATTCCCTGCAATACCCACCCCTAGTACTAATGCATCATTCACCCATATTGTTCCACTACAGAATGTTTTCCTCCCGAGATAACCTTACGTTTCAGGAAACATGAAAACATTTCCCCTGTGTGGGCATTAGGAAACGTGTCTTCCGCCTGTCACAGTACACGCGGGTACCTGTTGTAATCCACTCAAGGTTCAAGGGCATGTTGCTCACGTTTTTCCCTTAACACAATTACTTCCGCTTTCACCCATACAATAAAACACCTATTAATTGATTGTTATGTTGAACCTGATCCTTCCTGGGGGTGTTCTGTTTTTGCCTGCACGTATTGTTTAGGAATTATAATTACTGTACAGTACTTAATCCTTATATACATCTCGGATGGGGCTCAACTACAGAAAGTACTAGAATTTGTACTTTACTAAGAAAGTGTAATCCCAAATATAACAGATGTTACATTTGACCGACATTAATTTTACTTACTGTGCATTATACATAAATACATACAATTGTATAATTTGTTTCACATTACATAATAATCACATTCAAAATCCCCCTAGATGAGAAACGACACCACCATAAACAAGTGGTGAGATGGTACCAGTTAAAGAGTTTATGTTTCTCAAGGTCAATTCTTTCTTCAAGGTGCCGGTAGTGAACTCCACTTAATTGAACAGACTATAATTGTGCAGGCACTGGACTGTTAATCCCAACCCACTTATAGCCAATTAAAGTGCAGGCAAAAAGAGAATACTCCTCGTCCTTCTACATCACCGGGCAATCTTCACCTAATCGCCAGCAAAGTCAGTCGTCTAACCCACTCAGCCAACGCCCTCGCCTGACTCTGAGGTTGTGGGTTCGAATCCCGGATGGGACTCAACCCAACAAAAGTACTAGAATCTGTACTTTACTGAGAAAGTGTAATCCCAACTATAACATATGTTACCTTTGATAACTTTTTAAATGGAAATAATAAATAACCCCCCCCAAAACCCCTTTTTGAATGGCATTGTGTATTCACTGTTTTTGAAGGCAGATGACAGATTAACAATCTGCATAGGTCGGCACTTCTCGTGGGCATAATCTGCTTAGCTGGTCCTATTTTACCATATCTCGGACAAGGGTATACGACAAATACATGCTTTTATCACAATCTACCTTGACCTATGACAAATAATACAACGGACATGTGTATCAAATGACTGATTTTAACACTCTGTCAGTAAGAAATGAGTCATTGTTTTCATCTTTAACGGACAGATAATCTAGTATTGCCTAATTCAGACAATGAGCATTAAAGTGTTTGTTAAAATCTGATACACTTCAGTAGCGCAAAGATCCGGTTATCGGAAAAAAGCATCAGGAAAAAAAGAATCGGAAAAAAAGAATCAAGTTTTGCTAGGAAAAAAAGAAACAAGAAAAGAGAATCAGTTTACACATTTATTGGTGGAATAATGAACCAATATCATAACGAATATAATAATCCAATCCAAAGATCCACATAGCAACTACGCTTGCAAATATCCACACCTGTTGGTTTGACATTTCTTGGGACCAGGGTCCCGTTTCACAAAGTGATCTCAGCGCTAAGAGTGGCTCAACTCCCATACTTTACCAAAGACTTGAGACTGCCGTAGTGCTACGATAAGCTAGGGGAACGGGGACCAAGGTCCACTTACTCAAAGCCATCTTAGCGCAACCCACTAAGTCTATGTTTGTGTATGGGAGTTACGATCATCGTAGCGCTAAGATCGCTTTGTGCAAGTGGGCCCTGGTCCCGATCCACTAAGCGTTCGTAGCGCTACGACATTCGTAAGCCTATGATAAACTATAGAGTTACGACAGGTCGTAACTTTACGTACGATTTGTGAATTAGGTCAATAACATCGAGAGAAACGTTGTTCTCCACAGCTGGAGTCAAACTGCGCCGCCTGGTGAAGTGATGTTTTCATCAGTGTGATTATCTACAGTTGAAAACAGAGCCTCAAATAAATCTAAAACAATTGACGGGAATGTTTCTATTAAAACTTATTCCACCTTTCACAGCTCGAGTCTCGTGCTATCGGTCTGTATATGGTCGCGTTATGCATTATCGCGCTTTCGTCTCGCTCTATCGCTTTTTCTCGCCTTGGTATATCGCCACCATTTTCGCTGTCTATCAAAACGCTTTGTCATGTTTTCGCTTTATCACTTTCGCCGCCTTGGTATATCGCTTTCTCGCTCTATCATTCTTTGAATGATTTCATCGTCTCGATGGAATCAGCACATGTGGATGGACAGATGGATGGATGGATGGATGGATCTATGGATGGGAAGGGCGGGCGGATGGGTGGTGGGCGGGTGGATGTTATGGGATGGACGGATGGATGGGTGGATGGAAGGGCGGGCGGGAGGACGGACGGATGGATGTGTTGATTAGATGTCGTTAGGCGATGAATGACGTTAGGCGCGATCCGTTGCCATTCCTGTAGAAGACATTGTTCCAGTATTTGAGACAGGTGGAGCTGGTAGATTCTGATTTGTCGATCCAGGTAGTGCCATAAGTGGCATAATGGCAACACAACTGGTCTCAAAACTACATCCCTGAATCTTCGAGCATTCAGGCTCCCATGAATAATCACAAGTCTCGTTTTGAGATCGACGCAGATCCACACACACCTTCACGCTATCGGCTCCAAGCGGTCGGACTTGCTCAACGCAATTCGGCGCTAAACGTTCATCTTCTCGTCTGTAAACACGAGCCAAAACATACTCTCGTCGGTGAACATTACACGTCGCCAATCATGCGTCTGCCAACGTCGAACTCGTCTGGCCCAGGTCAATTGACGACGTTGGTTTTGAAAAGTCATATGCACTCCGCGATAGGGTCGACGTTCTCCGGTATATCGACTGACACGGCGCCCTAGTGCTGTCACCGTTACAAAACGATTTCTCAGATGTATTGTTATGAAGTGGCGATCATCAACGGGCGTTTGCACACGTGGTCTGCCACTCCTAGGCCTGTCTGACGCACTGCCAGTTTGTCGTTGCATCAGTCCGATCACAGTTGCTCGGGGTGCAGCACATCGTTCTCTGGCAATGACGATGTGGTTAGCCCCTACTTGGGACATTCCGACAGCTGTACCCCCACCCCACCCCCACCCCACCTCACACACACACCACCTCTTGTTTCATCATTGTTTTTGATTTTTTGCGACGTTTAGGCAATTCGTTAACTTATTTCGCCGTTTGTTGTGTACGGGTGTGACATGACTCAGTGTGGTTTTATCACTTCAAAATATTTTAATTTTTTTTGGGGGGGGTGAATTTGTATGTAATTCTTTGCGGTTCCTTTTGAGTACTAGTTTAGTGTCTATTCTCTCACTGGAAGCTCCTAAATTATTTTGAAGTTCGAATAGTTCGTGGTCACGTTACGTGAAATACACGGATTATTGATCTGTAACATGTCATGGCTGGGTGGGTAATGGTGATTTTTATGGATAAGCATGTACATTGTGAATATGTGAATGACACATTCCCCCCTCTAAAATCTATGCACAAAGTAAGTGACTTCCCTGCATGTCATGTACAAAATCAACGAACACCTCCCTAGTACATATATACAAAATTGATGACCCAAATCCCCCCCCAATAACATTAATAAATAAATAAATAAATAAATAAATAAATAAATAAATAAATAAATAAATATAAAATAATTAAATAAATAAAAATATAAAATATAAAAAATCCAAAACAAATCATCATATCCCCCCTGGCCATAAATTATGAACGGTCCCTAACGAGCCCAGATTCAGGCGACGATGGATGCTATATATAGCGCCACTGCGTATCCAAAATTCCCACACTTAAAGACAAACATATGACTGTGCTATATTTAGAAAGTATGCTGTCAGTGTACACAGCAATGTTGTGGTATAGTGAAATGACTGTCCCTCGTGTCAGTCAGTACGATGGCGGTGTCAAGTTGACAGTCTCGAGCGGGGCACGAGCAACCACTCCGCTTATTCCGGAATGACACGAGTGATGAAGTCGTCACTAGTCCAAGCTAATTTGAGTGAGCAAGTTTTACACCACTTTTAGCAATATTCCAGCAATATCACAGCGGGGGACACCAGAAATGAGCTTCACACATTGTACCCATGTTCGGAATAGAACCCGGGTCATCGGCGTGACGAGGGACGCTTTAACCTCTAGGCTACCCCACCACCCTCGGCCATCCTTGAGACGTAGGAAACGCAGTATAACAATACATACGTACAACATGAGTAAAAGTACTACAGGTATATATAGTGCGTTAAATAATGTTCCTATATTAAAATATATGTTTTCCTCTACACATCTGACCGCCTCCGTGGTGTAGTGGTTAGAGCGTCCGCCCGGAGAGCGGAAGGTCGCGGGTTCGATCCCCGACCGCGTCATACCAAAAGACGTTAAAATATGGTACTTGTTAGTCCGTGCCTGGCGCTCGGCATTAATGGGTACAACAAGGACTGGTCGGCTCGGAGTCAGTATAATGTGTCTGAGTGTGGTATTCATGCTTCACTGCGGCATGGTATCTCCGTGGGCTGGCACTATTAAACCAGCTTCAGTCTGGGCTAGTACAAGCAGCCGCACATACACATACACACGCATGCACGTCGTCATATAAGCGAAATATTCTCGAGCACGACGTTAAACCTAAATTCACCTCACCTCACCTCCTCTACACATCGAATAAAACTTTATGGCTAACACTTGTACATTTTCGGACCATAGAATATATACAAGTTTGTTAAAATCATTCAGATTTTCAAAAGTAGGATATAATATAATACATTACATAAAATGTCTCAATTCTCCAGGGCCGCTCGTCACACCGGTTCGATTCCCCACATGGGTACATTGTGTGAAGCTCATTTCTGGTGTCCCCTACCGTGATGTTGCTGGAATATTGCTAAAAGCGACGAACACCCATACCCATCTCACTCTTAACCCTCCATGAAAAGGACATAATCCTTTTAAAAGTAACTAGTCTTTAATAATTCTGCCCACTATTTCGTGGAGAGGTTCAATACGGAAGATGGAATGATAGATCTAGTGAATATTGTATGCTTGATGTTGCCATCAAAAGCGGATTTCTGAATGAATTAGAAGTTTAAAAATCACCAATCAATTCGTATTCATGATCAGTCAAAGCTAAAAGTTAAATTAATCCAGTACATTTGAATATATCCAAAGTTATATATTCCAAAAACACCGCGGTGGTTTGTTTATAATCGAATCTGGATAAGGTTGATATCACAAGAACTCCCGACGCCAACTGTCTGAATGTGTGTGTGTGTGTGCGCGCTCGCTCGCGCGCATGTGTGTACGTACTTGTGTGAGTGGACGTATGCGCGGATGTGCTTGCATGTGCGTGGGTGTATGGATGAGGGGACAAACGTATGTGTGAGCGCGTGTGTTTTTTGTGTGTAAGACATGTATATCTGTTTAACGTTATTTCAAAGCACAATAGACCGCCTCCGTGGTGTAGTGGTTAGAGCGTCCGCCCGGAGAGCGGAAGGTCGCGGGTTCGATCCCCGACCGCGTCATAAAGACGTTAAAGTATGGTACTTGTTGGTCCCTTCCTGGCGCTCGGCATTAATGGGTACAACAAGGACTGGTCGGCTCGGAGTCAGTATAATGTGTCTGAGTGGGGTATTAATGCTTCACTGCGGCATGGTATCTCAGTGGGCTAGCAGTATAAAACCAGCTTCAGTCTGGGCTAGTACAAGCAGCGGCACATACACATATACACGCATGCACGTCGTCATATAAGCGAAATATTCTCAAGCACGACGTCAAACCCAATTTCACCTCACCCCACCTCACCCCACCCCACCCCACCTCACCCCACCCCACCCCACCTCACCCTCACCTCACCTCACCTCACCTCACCTCACCCCACCTCAAAGCACAATAATAGAAACAAAAGAGACTCCAGTCATTATTTTTTTTATTATGTATCAATGCACAAAAAACGTAATATATATACACTAAAAATGAATAACTATTAGATATACAACATATGACATGAAATCAATTCATACAAAAGAATGATTGTACACCTCGAGACAATCTATCGGAAACAGACCCTCTTGCTGAAAGGGGATGTTGATCCTCGAAAATCTGAATCGCATAGTTTCTCTCTGTGGGAGTTTGACCATGGGTGTTTCTTAGCACCACCCGCTGACCTTTCTCAATACTAAGACAATATTCGGTATAAGCGAAGGATCTTAGCACTGGGAAGGCATGCTTCTGGTATTCATACCAATATTTACTATTTGTCTCCGTAATTACTTCTGTGACGTCACTTTTGTTGGCACGACGGAACTGAAAACCAAATGTCTCTGCTCGGCAGTTCCCGGGTGTAATTACAGGGGTGAGGTAGAACGACTCACCATGAAGGTCGTATCGGAAACACATTAAGCTATACATTCGATTATTCGTATCAATAGCGTTTTTTATCTCCCTGACGAAGTAATATTGTTCTTTGAACTTTGTTCGGTAGATGTCGATGATGAGGATGGGTTTGTCCGTATCTTCGACTGCTCTCAAAAACCGGCCATTGGAGAGCGGCCATTTTATTTTCACTCGTGTTCCACTGGACGAGTTTATGTACAACAGATGGGGGACAGGTTGTGGGGTGCAGTGTGTCAACTGCGCCACCTCAGCAACAATTAACTCTTCTTCAATTTCCGATTCGTACTCGTCACTGCTGGATCGGGACGTAAATTCTGTAATTATAAAAATACATAAGAGTTTATAAGTGTATAAACCTAAACACAATAGCATTTCAATTTTGGTTTCTTACGATTTTATTGATGATAAAAATGATGATGTAACGCCTTGTGCATGCATATGTCGAATAACGTAGTTAGACTTATCGGTAAGTTTGAACTTATTTGTAATTATCGGAACCAAACATTGAGCTCGCGACAACCGGGAATTCGATACACCCACTTACAAAAGAGATAGTTTCCCAGATCGGACTGCGTTTGAGGTCGACATGACCGGGTATTCGACATACCCGATTTCGAGGCAATGAGATTGACACATATCCAGCTACAGAGGATCTGGTGGCTCAGAACTATGAAGCACCCGTTACGATGCTCAAGCTATCAACCCGTGAAGGTCCGGGTTAGAATATTGATCTTCAGTAACCCATGCTTGTCGTAAGAGGCGACTAACGGGATCGGGTGGTCAGGCTCGCTGATTTGGTTGACACATGTCATCGGTTCCCAATTGCGCAGATCGATGCTCATGATAAAGATCACTGGATTGTCTGGTCCAGACTCGATTATTTACAGACCGCCGCCATATGGCTGGAATATTGCTGAGTGCGGCGTAAAACTAAACTCACTCACTCACACACTCAAGCTATTAACCACTGGTTTTCCGGGACCGCCGTACTACAGCCTGAATATTGCTTACTGTGGCGTAAACTTTCGCTTTTCTCCGAGTTCGTTAAAACCAGAGATGATGTACCTGTGACGCTCATTGCCATGTTCGAGTAATCTGCATGATCGGACTCGTCGGTGACTCCACTGGACGGTCGTCCATGCCCTGCATCCCTCGAAGTAGCCGTCGTCAACGACATCCCCGGCAAGCTCTCCTCCCGTTGGGATGTCACTGTACCCCATTCTTCTGTTCCACTGTCTGAATATATAATGAACATTTAATGCGGACCCATAACCCTCTCCGCCAACATAAGCTAACACACAGCAGCGCCCTTGAACATGTACTAGGTGCGTTGTTATGTGCGCTATATAGATAACCTGTCATCGTCATCATCATCATCAGCAGCACCTATCATCATCACTTCGAGATGACGGGGTGTGGAGGGGATATTTGAACCTTTACGTTTTATTATGTATTATCATGTATATTTGCGTTATATGGCGAATATTAGGAGCTAATGATCAGCTTAGGGGACCGTTCACAATTTAATAGCTGGGGGTTGGGGTGACCCATTTTGTTGTGGGGAGGTGTCATCATTAGTAATTAACTTTCATGACATGCAAGGGGGTCGCTTAGTTTGTTAAAAAATCCCCCCCTCCCCCTCTCCCCCAGCCATAAATCATGAACGGTCCCTTACGACGATATTTCATTTTCACTGAGCTTATTATAACGTCAAGACATCCGCTTGAAATGGGCATCAGACCATGAACAAGAACCCAAACAATCTTTAAACATTAAACATTAACACCACAGGGTATTTCCGGAGTTGTCACTGTTAACTGTGCTGTGCCTACCCCCATCTCTTACCCTGTTTCATATATAAACACGAATGGGATTTTCCTAAGTTTCCACCATGAGTTGTGTCTATTTTTAAATCGCTAAGTCGCCTAGAGAGTTCGAAATGATAGGCCCATTAACTATAAATACAGGCCCTCGTGTCTTTGCGAAGATAAAAGATTAAACAAATTATTTTTTTGAGATGACACCCGACTCGAAATGCTACACAGTTCACCTTGTTATAATGTATTGTACTGTGAAGCTTTTCGAGCCGGGGGTAATCTAAAATGTTTTATGTTTTTTAATTTTTTTTAACATATTTAATCCTCGCAAAGACACGAGGGCCTGTGTCTCTGTGATGGTCAACTACAACACATGTGATGCCTTCCACTGATAATGTAGTCAGATTAAGTCAATACAGTATTGATTCAGCTAATCGACTTCTGAATGGCGATGAGAATGTGTACATGAAATATACATGCCGACAGTATGAGCTGTACAGAGGAAGCAAAACGGTGTTATTGATTTGACGCTGAAGAACAAATAATCAATCGATTTGTGAATGAATGGAGAAAACATGATCGATCTAAGATTAGGGAAACGTCGACGGGGATTGTCATGATGATGGTGAACATGGCTGTAATGAGTATAATGTTGGCGATCAGTGTTGCCGCCGATGATTTGTATTGACGTGTATTGTGATTGTATCAACACTGTTGAATATTGTCACAATACTAATGATTCATTTACTTAAGGGGGTAACGTTCCCCTTTACTCAGTCCTAACACCCACCCACCCACCCCCAACTCTCCATCCACCCCCATAATACTATTAACATGGAGAAACTGGGCAAAGTTTTACAAATATCCTGTGACGTTTTATGTCATTGGAAACTGGAAATATCTCAGACTAACTGACCTCGTTCCACTATCTTAAACCTGCCAAGGGTCACATTGATGTCGAGCATCGGACATAACCCGGTTAATACTCAGATTAACACTATGGCGGTATTATCCAGGTAGGGTTTGAACGTTGCAAGCGTTCATGTTTACTGAAGCGCAACTTCTGTTTCTTCACGGTTTCGAGATCAGATCAATCCACCATCGGCGATGTATAGAAGTACAAACTACGGTTAGAAGTGAAGGTATATCCAGAAATAGAGAAAAGTTAAAAAAACCCAATTCTTACCTGAAAAATCTTCTGGTCGAACAATACTATCCACGCCAGCAGATCTCATCGTTGATCCTCCGGAACGTCTTCGGGGACGTCTTCGGGGATAGGTACCTGGTGTGACATCACAGAATGATGCTGAAATGTGTATCCTGGACCGGACCTGACCAGGTTTTCCACGTGCTCCATTCTGTACTCGGACTCCGTCCTCTTTGAACCCACTGTCCTGACTACTCTGCGCTGTCGCAGGCTGAGATCCGAGTGCCCTTCTTACGATATCAATTTTTGATTTCTCGTCATCGACCAAGCTCAACGAACACGGTTTGTTCGACATGGTGCAGCTTTGTCTGTCTGTCTCTCTCGCTTCGTCACTAATAAAGCCTTGATTGGGGATTCCCCGATTTTAAAAATAGATCTGGGTTTAACAGATAGGGTTTAACGGATAAACTTCCGGATATAGATGGTGTTTCCCCAACAGCTGATGTGTTTTGAGTATCACCACGACAGCAAATGTAACGTGTGCTGTTACGGCGAATGTATGCCGACGTATGATGGAGGCACACTGGAGCTATGTCATCAACGTTTATATATTACTGCTTACCTGGGTACCTGCGTTTTATTAATAGATCTAATGACGGGAGGAGAGGGAGGGAAACTGACATATCACACAGAGAATAAACAGGCGCGGACACAGTTTTTAGAAGGGGTGGGGGGGGGGTGGGGGTTGCACACCCATGCACGGACATTTGACCAACATATGATGTTTATCTCCTAATTTAACCCGGATCTTCACGGGTATCTAGAGCGCGTCTGTATGTGAGTGACATGTGATCTTGTTTATCAATTTCTACTCCATAAACAACCATGCTGGGTCTATTTCATCATACTTGTTTATGTAGATAGTTCTAGATGTACATCTAAAAATACCTTGTCAGTTATTGTTATATATGGGGCATGTCCAAAATATCCCCAGACTAACTTCATTAAGTTGCATATTAGGAGTTGGAAAGTACACTACTGGCAAACATGACGGATAACAACCGAGTACAATGTTTTGATACAGATTCCTGTACCGTTGCAATATCCCCAACGTGGAAAAACATTAAGGGTGTTCGTAATTTCACAATATAATTTCGGGGTGGTGGGGTAGCCCAGTGGTAAAAGCATTCGCTCGTTACGCCGAAGACCCGGGTCCGATTCCCCACTAGGGTGCAATGTGTGAAGCCCATTTCTGGTGTCCCCCGCCATTGTATATGCTTCTCCATAATAATCATCATCATCATTAAGATTACAATATTGAATAAAAAAGTTCGAATGAATTAACGCAACGTTGCATTAAATCGACTCTCGCGCCCTCTACCGACCGAACATTATTTCAAGCGAACACCATAGGGTTATGTCCCTTGGGACGCTCTTTATGAATATACTATGCCCAACTTGTAATTGAAACCAGTTCGGCAAACACTGACAACACACTGACGATAGTTTTCGATGTACGGGACAATCGTTTACATTCCATATAAGGCAAGTGTTCTCTGTTTGGAAGCTGTTCGCCTCGAAGTTTCAGTTATCTATTTCAGGCAAGTCGTTAGGTATAATACGTCTATTATTGCATCAACAGGAAGCTGAAGTGAGTGCATGTGCCCCAATATGTATAATATAGGCCAAAGTATTGTCGAAAATGTGTGAAATTGTGCCTTTAAGTCTGAAGTGTTTCGGCGACTCTTTTCAGCCAATTCAGCCAAGTGACATTCTGATAACGCCCTCTTTTGTGGTCAAATTTATATTTCCAGAAAACCTTTTCATTTCCCCGTCAGTTTATTAAAAGGCGTGTTTGAGTGGAGTCTACCTAGGTTAGAGTAAGTGCGAATATGGAGAGGCAGATCTGTTTATTCGTACCGGTTAAGTAAACAAGCCAGTGTCACAAGAACACAACAAGCATGATGTAATGGTATTGGTTTCAAAACGTGTACGGTTTGTAATGAAAACAGGATAAATTAAATTTCAGTTTACACCATAACAAATTTACCATGTCAAAGGTGATTAGGACTGTATTCCGGGAAGACGTCCTCATGGGTAGCCTAGTCTTTGATTAGAAAACCCTGAAATGTTCTAAAATAAACCAATCCTAAAACCAACCACCTCCATTAATCAACCTTAATATGAAACTTTTCATCAACGACAGCTGATCTCAACGGTGTCACGGAGGGAAGACATCCAAGATGATCATCTGACGTGACATCACAGGTCGTATTTCATGGACCGGAAGTGACCATCCTATCCCGTGATGCCATGGCGACTCTGTACTCAGTGAACCCATTCGTTTCACACATTAATCACGTTATTTCCATTACGATGATCACCAAAACACATTTTGAAAAAAAAAGATAACACCGAGTCTCTTCTCATGTGTAAATTAATGCGTATAAAATACTTGTGAATTGAAAAGTTTTTCGTACTGCTTTTCATTGATGGATATGGGGCGGTGGGGTAGCCAAGTGGTTAAAGCGTTCGCTCGTCACGCCGAAAACCAGGGTTCGATTCCCCACATGGGTACAATGTGTGAATTCTTTGATTGGCATTCTAGAAGTTGTGTAGATGAAGAATGAGGACTATTTATATGGATATAGAACTTCTTTATTCTATTCTAAAATATAGGCGACGTTTCGACATAGATTCTAATGTCACCACTTGCTTGACAACGACATTAGAATCTATGTCGAAACGTCGCCTATATAGAATAAAGAAGTTGTATATCCATAAAAATAGTCCTCATTCTACATTCTACAATGTGTGAAGCCCATTTCTGGTGTCCCTCGCCGTGGTTGCTAAGAGCGGCGTAAAACCCAAACTCACTTACTCACCCATTGATTAATGTGCACATACATTAACAACATGTACTGGGATACACATCATCTGTTGACGAAACATATTAACAGTGAGCCTTTACATGTTAAAGGTGATGGGAGTCTGGTGTATCACAACAGGTATTTGTTGGTACTTTGAGGTGCAGTTATTAATACCTGGGTAAATGTCTTTATAAACAAACAAGACGTCACCTTGTATTGAGAGTCAGTCATGTACGTCAGGCTACGCCAGTGTCACCACGACAGCGTCACCACCACAGCTGACAGAGGCTGAAGCCTGAAATATGACACCACGAGTTGACGTGTTGCTATAAATAGAACTGAGTTTTTCCAAAATATCACCACTGAGTAATATCATTGAAAGGCGTAATATCATTGTGATAAACCGTCCACTGAAACATTCCAGACGGTTGGTCCGGACATTTGATATCAACATAGAAGACACTCCCGACAACAGTGGTTCGATAACGTCCATACCACACTATAAGTCGCCCAATACACATCCAGTGACACCCAATACACACGGTTTACACCCCCACACACACACACACCTACCCCCACCCCCCAGCTTGCCAGCAGCCAACAGGGAATTATCCGGGATTAGCGGACACACATGGTGAGCGTGCAAGGTAAGTTGTTCCCTGTGTAATAAGGTCCGGGATAATTAGGCTACTCATACAATTTTGACACCGTGACTTCATTCATTCATTCATTTATTTCAACATATGCTTTAATAACACAATCGTACGTACAGTTAAGTTTAGGTTAGGACAATAACATGAAGAGAAAAGTACGCCCATATAAGGGTGTCCGAACAGCGCGCCACCTGGAGCAGGGTAAATGTGCAAATGAGTGAGTGAGTGAGTTTAGCTTTACGCCGCACTCGCCAATATTCCAGCTATAAATAATCGAGTCTGGACCAGACAATCCAGTGATCAACATCATGAGCATCGATCTGCGCAATTGGGAACCGATGACATGTGTCAACCAAGTCAGCGAGCCTGACCACCCGATCCCGTCAGCCGCCTCTTACGACAAGCATGGGTTACTGAAGGTTCATTCTAACCCGGATCTTCACGGGTTAGGAATAAATAGATGAAAGCCCAAACCGATGAACGACTTAAATGCATGTACCCAGATACAATGCTGACAATCTCAGAAACATGATCTAAACGAAGCTAGATTCAACAGTATCCATCTTTGATGACGATGTAAGCATGATTATGAATGACAATAGTATCAGATAGGTCCGAGTTCGTGTTTCATTTCAAACCAAACTCAGTCAAACCTACCTACCCCCACACACGGACACACACACGCACGCATGCACGCACGGACACACACACGTACGTACAGTTAAGGTTAGGTTAGGACAATAACATGAAGAGAAAAGTACGCCAATATAAGGTTGTCCGAACAGACCTCCACCTGGAGCAGGGTAAATTTGCAAATGAGTAAGTGAGTTTAGTTTTACGCCGCACTCAGCAATATTCCAGCTGTATGGCGGCGGTCTGTAAATAATCGAGTCTGGACCAGACAGTCCAGTGATCAACAGCATGAGCATTGATCTGCGAAATTGGGAACCGATGACATGTGTCAACCAAGTCAGCGAGCCTGACCACCCGATCCCGTTAGTCGCCTCTGACGACAAGCATGGGTTGTGCAAATGAAGTCGACTAGCAGGAACTACTTTCCCAAGCTCCTTACATCAATGCGATGCCTTCTCAATGGGCTCAATACACAATTGCAAAACAAGGTTGAGCTGATGTACAAGATGAGTTGTATTTCCGCATGAGTTTCAGTCACACAATGCTGATATCGGATGCTGAGGACACCTACAGGAAGAACATTTGTTTGCCTCTGTGAAATCAGAATCAGATAATCAACTATTAATCACACCACAGGACGTCATTGGATTCTTTTGTTGTGTTCCATTACGTGCTTGTTGGGGGCAATCAATTTGCATACTTGAATCGCCCAGGTTTCGGTTCACGCTGTTGGGCGCTGCGACGACTCTCACTCCCTCAAGTCGTCGTCGTAAGGTTACTGCACTGTAAATGATGGACCAGATAAACCAGTGTTTGATACAATGAACACCGGTAAGTGAGTGAATGAGTGAGTCAGTCAGTATGGTTTTAAGCCGCTTTCAGCAATATTCCAGCAATATCACGGTGGGGGACAACCAGAAATGGGCTTCACACATTGTACCGATGTGGGGAATCGAACCCGGGTCTTCGGCGTGACGAGCGAACGCTTTAACCACTAGGCTACCCCACCGCCCCTGCACTGGTAAGCACAGCGCGAGGTTTCTGTTACCGTGTATGTGTGATACAAGTGATATCTACGTCACAGGTGTGATATGTGTGCCACATATTTATGCTGCGTTGATTCGTATAATATTTGTGTGACACGTGTAACTTATTATAATGTCTTTAAGATGTACTGCCAAGAAAAGGAAACTTGAGCAAAAATATATTTCTTAAAACTTGGATTGGAGCTCGACATAAAGTTCACAAATCATGCAAAACCAATTGTATCAATGCAACTGACACGGGTGTATCTTGAACTTTTGTTGTTATTTTAAATGCACGTGCAACATGATCGCGGGTGAGAGAAGAGTGTGCAACATCTGACAATGAAGATACAAGGAATCAACAAAAACATGCCATGAGTATCGGTAGAACGGAGAGAGCTATGGAATCCTAGAATGGACATTGTCGTGTTATCGCGCTTTGAATAATATATGATGATGATGATGGGAATGATGATGGTTTTTATGGAGAAACATGTGTACTGTGAACGACTCTCCCCCACCCCCACCCCCACCCCACCCCCACCCCACGAACAAAGTGTTTTGTTTCCTGTCCATAGCTTCTAAGATGTCATTGTAGACACGGACCAAAGCGGTCACGGTGCTGTGGCTAGTCTTGTATGCTGACTGGAAAGATTCCTGAAGATTGTGTTCTGCAAGATGTGATTTAATCCCAGAAGCAACAACCTTTTCAAGACACTGAGAGAGAAATGGGAGATTCGAGACTGGTTGATAGTGTTTCAGGATATTAGTGTCAAGACTTGATTTCTTGAGAATTGGTATGACATGAGCGTGTTTGAAGGCGGGTGGAACACTACCTGTGTCCAGAGACGTGTTGATGATGTCAAGGTAGCACGGCACCAAAGCATCGCTAGACGCTTTCACAAGCCTATAGGGATTGTGTCCAGAGAAGAAGACTTTGTTGGAGAATCTTTAATGATCCGACGAACCTCAGCCAAAGAAGCTGGTGTTAAGTGTTCCAGTGGCTTACCCTGAAACGTCTGTTCAAATTCATGCAGGAACGTTGTATTTGGCTGGATCTTGGCTCTAACGTTTTTGATTTTGTCACTGAAGAAAGATGCAAACCTGTTGGCAATTTCAAGTTCATCTGTGTGAGAAGGGAGCTTCTGTTCGTGGGAACAGTGTAGAAGTTTATCAAGAAGACTGTGCAGCTCCTTGTAAATGTGCTTATTACGAGTTATAGTGTTTTGGACAAATGCTGCCTTCGCTGAGGCTAGCGAGGAATCCAGTTCATTACGAGCTTGTTTATACAGCTGCCGATGCACTTCAAGTTTGCTTTTCCTCCAGACCTTTTCCGCTCTACGACAATTAGTTTTCTTTGCCTGACATCATCATTGTACCACTGAGTATTTTGGCCTAACAACAAAAGTTCTATTGTTCTTTGGTACATTTTGTCAAGTATGTTGGTAAGAAAGCTTCAAGTCATGAGACCTTTAATTCGACATCACCTACAGTGCAGTAATCAATGTTAGTCGTTATGTCCACAGAGAACTCATTATGTTCCTGGTTTCCCTGTAGGTGGCAGATTTAAGATGATGGCCAGGTTTGCAGGTGTTGAGAGTACAGTTTATAGTAAAGTGATCAGAGATAAACCTGTTAGTTACATCAATGACTTGGAGGAACCTGTCAGAATCACGGGTTATGATGACGTCCAGGGCCCCGTTCCTCAAAGCGATCGTAGCGCTACGATAGTCGTAAGCGTTTGTTAAAGTATGGGAGTTACGATCATCTTAGCGCTACGATCGCTTTGAGGAACGGGGCCCTGAGTATGACCAGTGAGTGGGTTCTGTAACTAGTTGGCGAAGATTGTACAAGGTAAGCAACTCTTTGAAACGCTGTGCTTGGCAATTTGGATCCACATTAACATGAATATTGAAATCGCCGAGAATTACTAGATGACCTTGATCTGTCGTAACTTGTTCCAAACCATCAGAGAGCTCATTCAGGTAGTACAAAATTGACAAACCTTATGGATGACAACTTCTTTACAACGAGAGTGCGACGTTTTGATACAGATTCTTGTACCGTTGTCAAGCACGAATGTAACATGCAGTGGTGGCAAAGTATACTACCCACATAAAGAAACTGTGCATTGTCAAAATATTATCCCAGTTGATAGGTACGATAACAATGTCAAAGGTACATATAAACTTTAATGGAGGGATCATGAGACCATAACAAGTCGGGAGAATTTCAATTGAAAAGTCAATCACAATGACGTCACGAGTCCACAAGCGGGACAGGGGTCAAACGACCATGCTGTTATTCCACCCCAAATCATCACGGAACCACCACCAAAACGATTCCTCTCCAAGACACAGGCCTGTGCATAACTTTCTCCCACGCGTCTATAGGCACGTTGACGTCCATCACTATGGGAAATGTTAAATCTAGACTCATCTGTAAAAACAACATTTCTCCACCAATACAAGGGTCTGCGGACATGATTTCGGCACCACATTTGGCGAGCTTGTCGATGACGTTGTGTCAGGATAGGCCGTATGGCGGGACGTCGTGGTCTGATCCCGTGATGACGTAAACGTTGTCTAACTGTGTTGGGGTGGATGCGGCGAAGTCCTGGGATGGTTCGGGCAATCATCACTGCAGTCTGAAACCTGTGGCGAAGATGGGTCACCCTTATCCATCTGTCCTGTCTTGGCGTTGTTACACGTGGACGTCCAGAACGTGGCCGATCGATGACGTCATTTGTGTTCTGGTAGCGTCTCACCAGTGCAGAAATGGTGTTCCGGTGGCAGTGGAATGTGCAGCCACTTGTCGTTGAGACATTCCCCCACGGACCATCCCAATGGCCTCATGACGTTGTGCAGACGTGAGCCTTGGCATGCTATGCGTTTCAATAGCCGTTTAATTTTTTGAACGATCGCACGGGCAGGGGTTGAGCTTTCCAAAGTGACAGTATTGTGTGGCATTCATTTGCTCTGTTTCTCTTTCCCGGAATGCACGTGCAACAACGTATTGCACGTCTCAAGGACGAACCCACTGCCGTCACGGAACGTGGCACGTGCATGCATGTTGGATACATGTCACTAATCTCTGAGTTTAAATCCTTATGTGTCTACACAGGTTTGATAAATTTAGATTTTAAATTTTTGTATGCACAGTTTCTTAATGTGCCTAGTATATATATACTGAGTATAACAAAGGAAACAAGACAAATGCCACTCAAAGAAGTCATTCACGAAGTCATAGAGAACAGGTCAAAAGAGCAGTTTGTCGCGATCGCCTGACCAGGGATACTCTACAACCCTTATATAGTCTCCCTGGCCTGACTAATGTCATGACACAAGCAGACAGCTAGGCCCAGGAGGACCACGTGTAACCTCCAGATGTTTTCCTTCGCGGAACCGTCTTGACAATGCCACTATCATCAGTATGGACTGTCATATGTCGTATTGCTAGCCACTGCAGCCATACGTCTGCGTATAGCTATGAACCTCCCCTCTGTGGGGAGGGGAGGGGGGTCTTGTTGACACTGACCTCGGATGCGGTATACAATCATGACAAGGCAGGAAGAGAGAGGCCTCTTATAGGTCAAGGTCGTGGGTATAGTTATAGGGGAAATCTACGTCTGACTGCTTCAGGTGAATTGCCATACTTAGATTGAAGCGCAATGATTTAGGCGAGAAATGATCAGGTAAAATAACACGTAAATTCAATTTTAAACTTACAGCGTTATATCGAGGAAGTATTGCAAAGGGCGCCATCCTCACCATGTACCGACGCATGCCGAGCGCTCTGTAGGGGTACTCTGAACGTTGCAATAGTACACGGATGCAAATATTTCAATGCTACTATAGAACTTTCGTCTTTTTCTTGCAAGGTGTGACACATCAATGAAATACTTATCTCTGACCTCGCGAATGCGCATGGTCATGTATGTTATGTTGAAATTCCAGTGTAATATACTTGGAGCAGGTATGCACCCTTATGTAAGTCAGAAGTCGGGATCTGTGTTTAGTTATGTTTGTCTCCCTCTGTACGCGAAGCGTGTCCGTATATCCGTATCACAATTCATGAATTGAACGATCTTCTGACGAGTAGGATTGGTATGCACTTAAGCGGAGATGCCTGTGGGAAATAGCCGCTGACCTAGTTTGCAAACTGAAAGTATGGAATTACGTTCGTGTTAATGGCTTCAAATGACAAAACAACAATTTTACTTCCCTGTTTAGAAACATGAGGTAACGCTATGCGAAAACACGTCATGGTTCGGTTTGATATATATATATAATGAAGCTTCAGGTCCGACAAAAGTCTCTGAGCTGCCACGAATGTAAGTACATTTCTGAATATCTGTCGTGTTTGTTTATATGATGTCTGTTTGTGGTTTGTCTGTGTGGGATGTTTGTTTGTTTGTTTGTTTGTGTGTGTGTGTGTGTGTGTGTGTTTGTTATACATAATGCCTATATGTAGTGTGTTATACATAGTGTATTTATGTAACGTATGTGTGTGTTACACATAATGTATTTATGTAGTGCATGTGTGTTTTATACATAATGTATGTATGTATGTAACGTGTGTGTGTGTGTGTGTTATACATAATGCCTGTATGTAGAATGTGTGTGTATCTATGGGTTATATGTATGATGTGTGTCTGTGATGTATATATTACTTGATGACTGTGTATGGATATGTGTGTGGTCAGTGAGCTGTATTTTAGTATGCTTGGCCCCATTGTATTTTTATTTTTTATATTGTTCGGTTATGTCGAATGTATGGTTGTCAGGAAGTGTGTGAGTGAGTGTTAAAATTTAACGTCACCTCGGCAATACTTCGGTTTGTCAGTATTTTGATCCGTAAACCACGGTGTGTGGGATTTCAACGTTTTGACTTTGTGTGTTTCATAACTATGACTGATAATTTTCAGATCAAACATACTGACCCTGTAACATATAAGATATATTATAGTTGGGATCACACTTTCTTAGTAAAGTTCAGATTGTAGTACTATTATTGGGTTGAACCCCATCCGGGATTCGAACCCACACCCTCAGAGTCAGCACCAAATCACCAGCACACAAAGTCAGCCGCCTAACCCGCTCAGTCACCACGGCTTCCACATACTGACCCTGATTTGTTTCTCTATATCAGATACCCAGACGTAGATACTGTGACATAGGTCTGAAAGCTGATATCCCTAGGGAGGACAAGCCATTCAACAAGTTACTGCTTTGCGACGTCACGATCCTGATAAACCGGATCTGTCAGTAACGGAGTATAATAGCTTCACAAGCAGCGGTTCGTGTGCACACACAGCTGATGAACAGATACACCACTGTCAGTACCTACTGATCAAGGAAGTATCACGCCACGTAGAAGTTCTTCTGCTGAAAACGTTTATCAAAGTCTACTCTGACAGTTTAGAAATCAGTAACTACAGACAACTCGTGTAGAGAAGAATAAGGCAGTGGCTGTAAGTGTGCCAGTTTCGTCTTAATGTTGAAAGGATCACAACAGATTTGTTTCGGTGATCACGATATTTTGGAGACTGGGACACTTCTACTGAAAACGTTTATCAGAGTCTATTCTGACAATTTGGAAGTCGGCCACAACAGACAACTTGTGACATGCACTTGTGAGAATACGTCAGGGATTGTTCGCCTACTTAACCTTACAAGGATCAGTTGTGTTACCTTTCCATGTGTAGTCTTGTCTGATCAGCAATATAAGAAACATATTTGAAAGAGGCAATACGTCTTGAGATCAACATGTCGGTACAACTCATCGACCACGTGAAGGAGGAGACGGTCCATGTTAAAAGTGACCAGTTCAAGTCTGGACGGTTTCTTCAAGTCACAGATGACCTGAAGTTATGTGTCAGGGGTCAAGTAAGCGACTCAAGTAATGTGTTGGCGTTTAGTAAATTTTCTGCAAAATCCGAGGACTGTACTGACGGTCAGTGTGTGGATTGTCTTGTATCCATTCAGTTTGACCACCATGGAGCTCACTACGTAGTATGCCCCCATAGGAAGGAGGCGACAAGGGAGACAACCCTGCAGCTTAGGGTTAAGAAGGTGAAGCTTGAGGACACACTTGACAGAAAGGCTGAGAGAGTTGACAAGATGTGTCTCATTTACTGGTTCAAACTCAAATCTACGGGATCTGGGACTTGGGTATGTGAATCCCTGGCTTTTAAAGATTTTTACATTTCCATTGAGGGGGAAAATGTGCTATTGAGAAAGCATACACACGGTATACCCCAAGAGGAAAATTTTCAGATTGGTATATATCCAATTGCAGAGACTTATCATTTAAGAGTAACGACCGAGGAACGCCGAGTGATGGTCAATGGGCAAACGCTGAGTATTGCCATCATCCATAAAGACGATCACGTTTTGACTTCAGGAGCGGATATCATCAGCGAAAGAGGCGATGTTCAGTTTACGGATTTACATGTCACTGAAATAAAACCTGATGAAGAGTATGAGGGAAAATGCGTCCTGGAGAAATCGAGACACGACACCTTTAATACAGAGCAAAATGTCTCAGCTGACAAATCGTCTGAAACCATGTTTGATTCTTCAGAAATGTCGTCTGCAACCACTGATGCGTCGTCATCCGTAGAATCTGTGTGTGTAGGGGCTAAACCGTCATCAGTCGCTGACGGGTCGTCTGTTACGCGTGGAAAATCGACTTCTTCTGAAGAAGCGTCATCTTCAATAAAGGCAATTAATACCCGAGGTACACTATTGTCATTCACTGAAGAACATTCGTCTGGCGTTGGCAAACTGTCAGCTTCTGGGCGTGACCTGTCGTCTGCTTCCCCACCAACGACACCGGAAGAGGCGATAACTGAAAGAATAATGTCGTCTGTGACGGAGGTCGACATTAAGGTTAATGATCAAGATCTTGACCGTATCACGAATTCGCAGAAATCTGCGCCCTCAGCACATGTCATTACTAGGGAGGTTCTGAAAGATGGTGACGGTTCAGGAGAGCTCATCAAAGAATCCGGAAAGATATCAGCCAAGAAGGAAAAGAAACGAAAGAGATGTTTCGCTTTGTCAAGAATATTTTCTTGTGTGTCATCTCGCTCTGCCGACTGAATCTGGAACATGATGTGTTCAGAATGCTGCTGACAGTATCACTGAGATTGAAGATGCGTTATGTGTTCAGAATATTGCTGACAGTATCACAGAGACTGAAGATGCCTTATGTGTTCATGAATATTGCTGACAGTATCACTGAGACTGAAGATGCGTTATGTGTTCAGAATATTGCTGACAGTATCAATGAGACTGAAGATGCCTTATGTGTTCATGAATATTGCTGACAGTATCACAGAGACTGAAGATGCGTAATGTGTTCATGAATATTGCTGACAGTATCACAGAGACTGAAGATGCGTTATGTGTTCATGAATATTGCTGACAGTATCACAGAGATTGGAGATGCCTTATGTGTTCATGAATATTGCTTACAGTATCACAGAGACTGAAGATGCGTTATGTGTTCATGAATATTGCTGACAGTATCACTGGGACTGAAGATGCGCTATGTGTTCATGAATATTGCTGACAGTATCACTGGGACTGAAGATGCGTTATGTGTTCATGAATATTGCTGACAGTATCACAGAGACTGAAGATGCGTTATGTGTTCATGAATATTGCTGACAGTATCACAGAGACTGAAGATGCGTTATGTGTTCATGAATATTGCTGACAGTATCACAGAGACTGAAGATGCGTTATGTGTTCATGAATATTGCTGACAGTATCACAGAGACTGAAGATGCGTTATGTGTTCATGAATATTGCTGACAGTATCACTGGGACTGAAGATGCGCTATGTGTTCATGAATATTGCTGACAGTATCACTGGGACTGAAGATGCCTTATGTGTTCATGAATATTGCTGACAGTATCACAGAGACTGAAGATGCGTTATGTGCTCATGAATATTGCTGACAGTATCACAGAGACTGAAGATGCGTGATGTGTTCATGAATATTGCTGACAGTATCACTGAGACTGAAGATGCGTTATGTGTTCATGAATATTGCTGACAGTATCACAGAGACTGAAGATGCGTTATGTGTTCATGAATATTGCTGACAGTATCACAGAGATTGAAGATGCGTTATGTGTTCATGAATATTGCTGACAGTATCACAGAGACTGAAGATGCGTTATGTGTTCATGAATATTGCTGACAGTATCACAGAGACTGAAGATGCGTTATGTGTTCATGAATATTGCTGACAGTATCACAGAGACTGAAGATGCGTTATGTGTTCATGAATATTGCTGACAGTATCACAGAGATTGGAGATACCTTATGTGTTCATGAATATTGCTGACAGTATCACAGAGACTAAGATGCGTTATGTGTTCAGAATATTGCTGACAGTATCACAGAGACTGAAGATGCGCTATGTGTTCATGAATATTGCTGACAGTATCACAGAGACTGAAGATGCGTTATGTGTTCATGAATATTGCTGACAGTATCACTGAGACTGAAGATGCCTTATGTGTTCAGAATACTGCTGACAGTATCACAGAGACTAAGATGCGTTATGTGTTCAGAATATTGCTGACAGTATCACTGAGACTGAAGATGCCTTATGTGTTCAGAATATTGCTGACAGTATCACAGAGACTGAAGATGTGTTATGTGTTCATGAATATTGCTGACAGTATCACAGAGACTGAAGATGCGTTATGTGTTCATGAATATTGCTGACAGTATCACTGAGACTGAAGATGCCTTATGTGTTCAGAATACTGCTGACAGTATCACTGAGACTGAAGATGCCTTATGTGTTCAGAATATTGCTGACAGTATCACAGAGACTGAAGATGCCTTATGTGTTCAGAATATTGCTGACAGTATCACAGAGACTGAAGATGCCTTATGTGTTCATGAATATTGCTGACAGTATCACAGAGACTGAAGATGCCTTATGTGTTCAGAATATTGCTGACAGTATCACAGAGACTGAAGATGCCTTATGTGTTCATGAATATTGCTGACAGTATCACAGAGACTGAAGATGCGTGATGTGTTCATGAATATTGCTGACAGTATCACAGAGACTGAAGATGCGTTATGTGTTCATGAATATTGCTGACAGTATCACTGGGACTGAAGATGCGCTATGTGTTCATGAATATTGCTGACAGTATCACTGGGACTGAAGATGCCTTATGTGTTCATGAATATTGCTGACAGTATCACAGAGACTCAAGATGCGTTATGTGCTCATGAATATTGCTGACAGTATCACAGAGACTGAAGATGCGTGATGTGTTCATGAATATTGCTGACAGTATCACTGAGACTGAAGATGCGTTATGTGTTCATGAATATTGCTGACAGTATCACAGAGACTGAAGATGCGTTATGTGTTCATGAATATTGCTGACAGTATCACAGAGATTGAAGATGCGTTATGTGTTCATGAATATTGCTGACAGTATCACAGAGACTGAAGATGCGTTATGTGTTCATGAATATTGCTGACAGTATCACAGAGACTGAAGATGCGTTATGTGTTCATGAATATTGCTGACAGTATCACAGAGACTGAAGATGCGTTATGTGTTCATGAATATTGCTGACAGTATCACAGAGATTGGAGATACCTTATGTGTTCATGAATATTGCTGACAGTATCACAGAGACTGAAGATGCCTTATGTGTTCATGAATATTGCTGACAGTATCACAGAGATTGGAGATGCCTTATGTGTTCATGAATATTGCTGACAGTATCACAGAGACTGAAGATGCGTTATGTGTTCATGAATATTGCTGACAGTATCACAGAGACTGAAGATGCGTTATGTGTTCATGAATATTGCTGACAGTATCACAGAGACTGAAGATGCGTTATGTGTTCGTGAATATTGCTGACAGTATCACAGAGACTGAAGATGCCTTATGTGTTCATGAATATTGCTTACAGTATCACAGAGACTGAAGATGCGTTATGTGTTCATGAATATTGCTGACAGTATCACAGAGATTGGAGATGCCTTATGTGTTCATGAATATTGCTGACAGTATCACAGAGACTGAAGATGCGTTATGTGTTCATGAATATTGCTGACAGTATCACAGAGACTGAAGATGCGTTATGTGTTCATGAATATTGCTGACAGTATCACAGAGACTGAAGATGCGTTATGTGTTCGTGAATATTGCTGACAGTATCACAGAGACTGAAGATGCCTTATGTGTTCATGAATATTGCTGACAGTATCACAGAGACTGAAGATGCCTTATGTGTTCATGAATATTGCTGACAGTATCACAGAGATTGGAGATGCCTTATGTGTTCATGAATATTGCTGACAGTATCACAGAGACTGAAGATGCGTTATGTGTTCATGAATATTGCTGACAGTATCACAGAGACTGAAGATGCGTTATGTGTTCGTGAATATTGCTGACAGTATCACAGAGACTGAAGATGCCTTATGTGTTCATGAATATTGCTTACAGTATCACAGAGACTGAAGATGCGTTATGTGTTCATGAATATTGCTGACAGTATCACAGAGACTGAAGATGCGTTATGTGTTCATGAATATTGCTGACAGTATCACCGAGACTGAAGATGCCTTATGTGTTCATGAATATTGCTGACAGTATCACAGAGACTGAAGATGCGTTATGTGTTCATGAATATTGCTGACAGTATCACAGAGACTGAAGATGCCTTATGTGTTCATGAATATTGCTGACAGTATCACAGAGACTGAAGATGCGTTATGTGTTCATGAATATTGCTGACAGTATCACAGAGACTGAAGATGCGTTATGTGTTCATGAATATTGCTGCCAGTATCACAGAGACTGAAGATGCGTTATGTGTTCATGAATATTGCTGACAGTATCACAGAGACTGAAGATGCGTTATGAGTTCATGAATATTGCTGACAGTATCACAGAGACTAAGATGCGTTATGTGTTCAGAATATTGCTGACAGTATCACAGAGACTGAAGATGCGTTATGTGTTCATGAATATTGCTGACAGTATCACAGAGACTGAAGATGCGCTATGTGTTCATGAATATTGCTGACAGTATCACAGAGACTAAGATGCGTTATGTGTTCAGAATATTGCTGACAGTATCACAGAGACTGAAGATGCGTTATGTGTTCATGAATATTGCTGACAGTATCACAGAGACTGAAGATGCGTTATGTGTTCATGAATATTGCTGACAGTATCACAGAGACTAAGATGCGTTATGTGTTCAGAATATTGCTGACAGTATCACAGAGACTGAAGATGCGCTATGTGTTCATGAATATTGCTGACAGTATCACAGAGACTGAAGATGCGTTATGTGTTCATGAATATTGCTGACAGTATCACTGAGACTGAAGATGCCTTATGTGTTCAGAATACTGCTGACAGTATCACAGAGACTAAGATGCGTTATGTGTTCAGAATATTGCTGACAGTATCACTGAGACTGAAGATGCCTTATGTGTTCAGAATATTGCTGACAGTATCACAGAGACTGAAGATGTGTTATGTGTTCATGAATATTGCTGACAGTATCACAGAGACTGAAGATGCGTTATGTGTTCATGAATATTGCTGACAGTATCACTGAGACTGAAGATGCCTTATGTGTTCAGAATACTGCTGACAGTATCACTGAGACTGAAGATGCCTTATGTGTTCAGAATATTGCTGACAGTATCACAGAGACTGAAGATGCCTTATGTGTTCAGAATATTGCTGACAGTATCACAGAGACTGAAGATGCCTTATGTGTTCATGAATATTGCTGACAGTATCACAGAGACTGAAGATGCCTTATGTGTTCAGAATATTGCTGACAGTATCACAGAGACTGAAGATGCCTTATGTGTTCATGAATATTGCTGACAGTATCACAGAGACTGAAGATGCCTTATGTGTTCATGAATATTGCTGACAGTATCACAGAGACTGAAGATGCCTTATGTGTTCATGAATATTGCTGACAGTATCACTGAGACTGAAGATGCCTTATGTGTTGAGAATACTGCTGACAGTATCACTGAGACTGAAGATGCCTTATGTGTTCAGAATATTGCTGACAGTATCACAGAGACTGAAGATGCGTTATGTGTTCAGAATATTGCTGACAGTATCACAGAGACTGAAGATGCCTTATGTGTTCATGAATATTGCTGACAGTATCACAGAGACTGAAGATGCCTTATGTGTTCAGAATATTGCTGACAGTATCACAGAGACTGAAGATGCGCTATGTGTAGCGACTGGAGCATGTACTAGGTGCGTTGTTAAGTGCGCTATATAGATAACCTGTCATCGTCATCATCATCAGCAGCACCTATCACCATCACTTCGAGATGACGGGGTGTAGAGGGGATATTTGAACTTTTACGTTTTATTATGTATTATCATGTATATTTACGTTATATTGCGAATATTAGGAGCTAATGATCAGCTTAGGGGACCGTTCACAATTTAATAGCTGGGGGTTGGGGTGACCTATTTTGTTTTTGGGAGGTGTCATCATTAGTAATTGATTTCCATGACAAGCAAGGGGGTCGCTTAGTTTGTTAAAAAACATTAGGTGGGTCATTCACATAGCATCGTCACATAAAAAATCCCCCCCCCCTTCCCCAGCCATAAATCATGAACGGTCCCTTACGACGATATGTCATTTTCACTGAGCGTATTATAACGTCAAGACATCCGCTTGAAATGGGCATCAGACCATGAAAAAGAACCCAAATAATCTTCAAACATTAAACATTAACACCACAGGGTATTTCCGGAGTTGTAACCGTTAACTGTGCTGTGCCTACCCCCATCTCTTACCCTGTTTCATATATAAACACGAATGGGATTTTCCTAAGTTTCCACCATGAGTTGTGTCTATTTTTAAATCGCTAAGTCGCCTAGAGAGTTCGAAATGATAGGCCCATTAACTATAAATACAGTGACGGAGATCAGTCTCTGTGCACAGGCCCTCGTGTCTTTGCGAAGATAAAAGATTAAACAAATTATTTTTTTGAGATGACACCCGACTCGAAATGCTACACAGTTCTCCTTGTTATAATGTATTGTACTGTGAAGCTTTTCGAGCCGGGGGTCATCTCAAATGTTTTATGTTTTTTTAATTTTTTGAACATATTTAATCTTCGCAAAGACACGAGGGCCTGTGTCTCTGTGATGGTCAACTACAACACATGTGATGCCTTCCACTGATAATGTAGTCAGATTAAGTCAATACAGTATTGATTCAGCTAATCGACTTCTGAATGGCGATGAGAATGTGTACATGAAATATACATGGCGACAGTATTAGTATCCAAGGCAGAACAGCTGATGCCCAGATGGCCCCCCACACATACCATCCATTAAGCCTACTCATTAGGGCAGAATAATTAAACATACGCACTGGTCAGTGAGATACCGTTAACCTGAAACAACAGATAAAGGCAGGGCCAGCCGGTCCCCCACTGGGTGCACACGTGCTGGCCCCTAAATATAGTACGGGTCAGGGAATCTAACAACAAACTCTGTCTGGCAGAACATTTGGCCAAGGGCTTTGAGACAAAAGCATTGGAGATTCATGTCCATCAGTGTCAGCGCCCGGCAGAGATAATTAAGTTAATTAGAGACCTGACCATTAACGGTATACCACCACTGACCAGTAGCGAAGAGAGGGCCAGAGAACAAAGGACCAAGACTGACCAACCCTGGGTATATATAACGGTACAGGCAATAGGCCAGGGAAGAGCCGAGCCGAATCTGCAGCCGAGTGTGCAGTACTGAATAAAGTTGTGGACCCACAGACAGACTTGTGTTGTTCATCACCCCTCTTGGAGACACAGCACTAAGGCAGATAGACATCGCAAAGAAACCAACATCTTCTAAGTGCGATACTGGTGGAGACAGATCTCTGGTGCCTCTTCAAGCCAAGCAGCCAAGTTCCATACAAAGGTTAATGCTGAACATTATACTTTGTCTGGGGTCCACAACTAACAGCCTTCACTCCGTAATTTGAAGCGGACTAATTCCATGTGCCGCCTAACCAGAACGACAGTTTCACATAAGCCTACAAACACGTACTATAACAACTAGAAGCTGTCATAAACAGTGTGGCAATATACTCCCCATTTCTATGTGCCAGTGTGTTAATATCTCCACGGGACTGCATCGCGTTTGATACGACCCATCAGAAGCTACCTTTCTACAGGACCAGATTCCGCGGAGCCAGTTCACCCTAAAGGACCAGGAGACAACCCATCAGTTCCAGACAGGACCAGGACCATGCACACCGGGACCAACTCGCCACCTCCCGACCAGACAGGACCCATCATCATTTCCGACGTCAACTCACTTCACAGCAGGACAAAACCGAAGTTTCGTGAGAGACACTGTGCAAGAACTGTGTGTAACGAACTGTTCTTCGTTTCCTAACATTGTGACACTCCTTTGGGTAAGCACATTTTTATATTACCACTGCCTACCCTATTTGCATTTTTACTTGTTTAGCAGCACATTTGTACGTTGCATAACTATGTCGATATTCAAACTTAATCCACTAAACGCGGATGAAAGGCTTCCCCTCTTGACCCCAGAAAAGATTAACTCACCCCCAACGTCTAAATCCACCCCTAAACAAGTCGACCTCAGCTCTCTTGACCCTTATTCCTCCCAATGGGTGACCTTTGATGATACCACCTCTACCACGCGCCACAATAGTCACACCAACACTAAGGCTTCCATCCCGACCCCACCCACTCCCTCATCGTTTACCCCACGACACCCCCAGACATTCCCATTATTACCCCCACCTCGTAGCATCTCCCCCTCCCCACCACCTCGCCGCCCTAACAGCCAGGAACCCTCAACTTCCCATACTTTATCAACTTTGTCCAGGGCTATTAATTGTTCACGCCTTCCACTTCCCATGTTTGATGGCAAAGATCCCATAGCGGCATCTGCTTGGCTGAAACGCTATGAGAAGTTCGCCTCTGCTCAACACTATACCGAAAGTGACCATATTGATATCTTCCCCCTTTACCTGACCCACTTAGCGGCGGAATGGTACGAGGGTACGAAAAATACCTCCTGTATGTCCTGGACATAGTTAAGAGCTGCATTTTTACGCCGATATTCCCCATCATCCATAAGTCTCTTAACTCGCCAGAATGCCTTACTGGACAGGAAACAAAGGTCTGGCGAAACCTTCCCCGCCTTTCTTCAGTCCGTCAGGCATGAAGCTGAATTACTGCACAGAAATGATGATGGCTACATTAAAGACCTTATATTACGCAATACCCTGCCCCATATACGTCAGTTTATCCTGACCCACGCGCACGATACTCTAGAGCAAGTAATCGAGAGCGCGGAAATTGCAGACGCCACGTCAGGGTTGACTGATCCCAAGTCAGATCAACTTATGGCGGCGATTAATGCCCTTTCATCCCAAGTCAGTGCGCTACACACTGAACATGTTAATGCGATCAACTCTGGCTATCGCCCCAATCAAAATTTTCCAAGAACCATGTCAGGCCCCACACCCAAAAATAGTCAATGCAACGAAGATGGTATTCAACGGTCACTACAATATAGCTCTAATCCATCTCAGTATTATCAACAGTCAGGCCCCGCCCCGAGGCCACTCCCCAGAGGTGGAACACCCCACCAATCCCCACAACAATTTCGTTGTAAAGGCTGCGGCTACTTCCACACCTCCCCACAAGAGTGTCGCGCAAAGTACCTCAGATGTTATAACTGTAACCAGTTAGGACACCTGCTTAGAACCTGCCCCCTTCCCCAACAGCGCAGAGCATGATATCAGGCGCCTCCCATAGCTGAGTCGAGCCCCAATCATCCGGCCCAGGGGAGGCATATTGATCGTTCAGTCAGCTAGGACTGCCAACCAATTACTCTTGTATATATGTATATATGCGACTGAACATTACGGTACAACATAACAAAGCCAACAAATTCCTACGGTATATATGTATATGTCGAAACTAAATATTAAGGTAACACATGAACATATCAAGAATCAGAGCAACTCACAACAACTTTAACATATTTTCAACACATCCACTTCATTAAGCCAATATGTGGAGAAAGCCGATTATAGCTTCTCCCACTGTACCAACACACATATACAACTGATATTGTGCCCTATACTTGTCAAATTGTCCAGGCAAGATATTTCTCAGTGGCCGGCACACTAACCATCCAATAACGCAGTAGCGGCCCTGAATGCATGAATGTTCGAAAGTGAAAAGTGCAAGGCAAAGGGAGGTATGCAGAGTTAAACTCACCACATACCACCTGAATGGATGACGAAGGATATGCGAGCGCGGTATAGGGGTTATGTTTGACGAGTTGAGGAAGAGGCGTCAGCTGTCGGAACCAGGTACAGGGCAACCACAGACAAAAGAGCCATCACGCCATTGTCTGGGGACCCTGGAGAGACGCCGGTAGTTGTAGTTGAAGGAAGGAAGTAGTAGAGTAGTAGAGAGAGAGGAAGAGGTGTCAGCTGTCGGAACCAGGTACAGGGCAACCACAGACAAAAGAGCCATCACGCCATTGTCTGAGGATCCTGGACAGACACCAGGTGTTTGTCGCTATGCGGCAGGGTTAGCTGATGGATTCCACCGTCTACCTGTCTCTTGATCACGGACGGGTCCACAGGCGTGCTCGATACCCATGGGAGAGTGTTTAGAGCGATCATTCACTCTTCCACAAGTCCCGGTAGTATAGGGCCAGCTAACCTGAGGAAAATTTGTGTAGTATAATGACGTCATTAGAGGATACGGTGGATACAGATATTGCGAGTAGACGTAGTAGTGAACTGAGGATGAATGAGTGTACAGAAGGCACTATAAAGTACGAATGTGTAAACCCCAATATAACGGCCACTACTCCACTGAGAAATAATCCTGGTTAGTAAGTGTTTCCCAATTTAATTTTTGCATTTAGTCACGTAATTTTGAAAAGTATCTATAGAACTATCTACATTTTTATGCAGGATGAGGTCTCTGCAAGCGTGGTCACTACTGCTGACCATACTGTATAGTACGATGGGTCAGGACCATGACCGCCTCCACTATGGGACCTTGTTTTCGGAAAGAGGGAAACTAACGGCTTTTGACGAATCTTGGACACACACATTCGCCCTAGAGTTACCAAAGCCATACCTTCCTAACAGATCGTATGAGATTCCATCTTGTCTTAAACAGGATGACACGGCATGTAAAAATACACACTTTCATGTTAGCTCCATCCTGACATTCGTACGTAATCTACACTCCCGCGCTAACTCAGACATGGCAACCACAATCAAATTAATTAAAACGCACATCCCAGACACGCCCGAACTTAAACCCAAAACTCGCCACACAAGAGTTTGCTTCCTTGGCTCGGTCAGTTGGCCAAGGGAGCATTCGGCCTCGCCACAGAACGTGACCTGAAAATAGTAACAGACCATATTCAACTCCTCGCATCCCAGGTACATCTCCGTGATGTCGGCTTCAACACATCACAACACCACATGGCATCCTACATGACACAGACAAATATTCGCTTCGACAACATAATCAAAGCTATTAAACAAAATCATAACCAAATCGTTCAGACAGGCGCATTCACACTTAAAGAGGTCAAATGGTACGAGAACTATTTCTCCACACTCCTCCTTATGGTAGGCAGAGAAAATCAATTGGCTACATTAGTACAGGGTCAGTCCCAGACACTATTATCAGGTATATTCCAGTTACTAAGGGGCCGCCTGTCACCTAACATTGTTCCCTTACCAACACTACTGACAACAATTCACGCTATTGCCGACCGCTTACATTCCACATACCCAAAGTTTCAACTTCGATACACCGACGCCACGATGTACTATACCGATGTTGATGTACACCTAGCCCGCCACAACAATATGTTGTTTGTGACACTACTAATACCAGTCGTTTCAGACACTACTGTAATGAAAGTTTATAGGACGTCAACATTTTCCCTTCCAACCCACGTTAACTCCCCACATGCGACTATCGTCAGAAATCTGGCCCCATATCTTGCTGTTTCCCTAGACAGTAAAAAGTTTGTCGAGTTTGAGAGTCAACAGTTCGAGCGATGCAACGGTGAATCACACATACACTGCAACATACTGCCCCCCGAGTCCACGTTTTCAGTCCCTACGTGTACCTTGGCATTGTTCCTTAATGACATCGACCTTGTCCACGAATTATGCACTTTCCACTTTTTACCTAACGGTACTGTTACTGACATGTTCGAACTAAGATCGGGCATGGTTGTCCTCCAAAATGTCCAAAATATCTCCTTTAAGTGCCCGACCGGCATTAAAACTCATAAAGGCTGCAGTTTGTGCACCTCACCGCTGTTTTGCTCTTGTTCAATCCAAGCAAACAATAAAACCATCCCTCCCCGGCTGAACCATTGTCAAATCCATGATAACACAACCCATCTCCGTTATCCTATTAACATTGGGTTCTTACGTCATTTTTTCAATTCCGACCAAATTCGAAATACCATTCCCGCCCTACTAGCGCAGGAGCCGGTTCAATATAGGACCGCCCCAATCCGTTTGGCGAACGCAACCTTCCAAAAGATAATTAAGACAGATAAACAACTCAGTGTTAACTTGAAACACGTGGTCGCTCAAGCAAAGGCCAACCAAATCATATATACCGACCCTTCAGACCCACTCTTTATAAAATCACTGGGCGACGACTCCGCCGTATTTGATTGGTCAGACCCCTTCGCGTATCTGAATGTTGCAGTATGGGGAATAATAATTGTAATTGGCTGCCTGCTTTTCTCAATGAATCGCAGAATCGGTATGCTACGAGTACAGCTACTGGCTCGGGGTATTACCGCTGTAGCAGTCACTACTACACCTAACATGTTAGTGTGGACACCCTCCACTCCAGCTCCCGTAGTGACATCAACGCCCTCGGTAACTGACCTTATTAAATCCTACTTTAAACTTGAAGTTGTTATCCTTGTTATCATGTTTATTGTGACTACTTCCTTAATACTATATGTGTACAAACTGAAGACAAGAGTGACATCATCGGTCATATTATGCTTCTCTTCAGGGAACGATTCAATTTGTTTGAATATAGCTGACATCAACGCCCCACCTCTAGTCCTGTCACTCTCTAATACCAACTACTCTCCTACGTCGGTAGCCATACACCGCACCCCTAAGTTGTTCTCCGATCAAGTCACTATCACCTGGCCAGACAACAACTTATCTGTAGTAAATATCACATCCACAACTCGCATCCCCCTGCCCTCGGATGTAGCTATATTCAAGCTAAATACGAAACGACTAAGACGAATCATAAAAATCCGGTATATACTCAATTTGTATATACTCCACGCTAACGTCCATTACCCACTTAAAGCTGTCGGGGGGACCGATCAATCCATCAGCCATCATGATCCACCCCCACCCCACTACAGCCAACGGCTGTACCCGTCTCTGGGATCCCAAATCTAATGAAAATAGCCGTACTCTTACATACATCCTCTTCTCACCACCCCATCCCATCCCCCGATTACCTTTTTTTGTCGAACCATAGCTATGTATTAAAGTCAACTACTGACAACACAACCAACTCACCAAT